AGTAAAGCGAAAATAAGTTTAGTAAAAGAAAAGAGGAACAGAAAGAAGACTACTCAGCCAGGAGTAGTAGACTGCTCAGCCTGTATCCTAACACTTTGAGAGGCTGAAATGAGAGGATTGCCTGATCCCGGGAGTTCGAGACCAGCCTGGGAAACTTGATGAGACCTCGTTTCTACAATAAATCACGAAAATTAGTCGGGCATGGTGGCACATGCCTGTAGTTCCATCTACTTGGAAGACTGATGTGGAAGGATTGCCTAAGTCCAGCAGGTCGAGGCTGCAGTGGCCATGAGTGAGCCACTGCACTCCAGCCTGGGTGACAAGAGTAGAGAGAGAGAGAGAGAGAAAGAAAGAAAGAGAGAGAGAGAGAGAGAGAGAGAGGGAGGGAGGGAGGGAGGGAGGAAGGAAGGAAGGAAGGATGGAAGGAAGGAACTCTAAAGGCAGAGCAGTCCTTGAGCACTACTGGAGTTTCAACTGGAAGGTGAAAGCAAATTTATTGAAATAACAGACCAAAGGCTATGCCATAGGCAGAGCAGCCTTGACTGGTCTATTGGAAGAACAGCAGCCATATATCACTGGGGTTTTATTTTTATAACTATCTCTTAATTATATGGTAAGCAAGGGTGGAATATTCATGGGTTTTCTGGAAAAGAGGTGAGGAGTTCCCAGAATCTAGGGTCCCTCTTATTTTTATACTATATAGGGTAACTTCCAAGGGTTGTCATGGTTATTCTAAACTGTCATGGCACTGATGGGAGTGTCATCTAGCATGCTAATGCATTATAATGAGCGTATACTGAGAGGTAAAGTTGGGTAGTGGGCAAATTAATCACCATCTTGGTTCTGGCTGTTTTTAACTGATTCTTAACCACATCCTGTTTTCTCTGTGGGGGGTCTCAGAAAACCACCCCATCTACCTGTCTTGAGAAACCGTCTCAGCCAACTGTCTTAAAAAGTTAACCTTGCCGTTTATCTTGGGAAATTAGTCCTGATCAACTCCTATCTCAAACCCACAGCCCAGGGCAAGAGACAAACACATGATCCGAAATGCCAGGAACCAAGAAGGTCATCTGTAAAAGAGCATGGCCTCTTAGAACATCCTTCTTCCTCCCTGTGTTACTCTCACACTTACACTGCTCCTGTAAGCTGGCCCAGAAGATCTAACTTCAAAGAATAGTTCTATACTTATCAGCACAAGTCATGTAACATCTCTGGTCTTAGTTTCCTCAACTTCCAAATGGAGAAAACATTGGCTTCCAAATGTGGTTGCAGTGACTGAATGAGTTAGTATGTATGAATGTGTCTCAGAATGACCTTGTGTAGGGCATTTTTCTAATTAAGTTGAATGGGTCTCTAGTTTGTCTGCTCCATTGACATCTCAAAGCATCAGACATTTACCTGCCACCTGCCAAGAGGTACAGGTGGGATGGACAATAGGACAGGTTGCCCTTAGCCACCAGGTGTAGGGGGTGAGTATCATGGAATGACTCATTCTTTCTCCAGCTGGAGATTGTTGGATCCACCATAAATTCTCAAAGTGGGACAGTATGATTTGGAGACCACATGATGCCCCAGCAGCCCATGTAGACAGATGCTGGGGCTTTGTCTGGAGGAGCCTCCAGCTCTATGTGTGTCTCTCCCTGAATCCTCACAACCTCTCAGAGAGAAGTGCTATGACAAGGAAGAGTCTCAGATGGTTAAGGAACATGCTTCAGGTGGTGGAGGAGGTGTGGAACCACATCTAGCTCATACAAGGGTCCTGTCTGGTTCTGGGACAGAAGACTGTCTCCCTGTTTCCGTGTCCTCAGAAACACCACGTCCCCTATAGACACCTGTCCTTGGACCTCCAGGCCCCCGGCTGCCACCTCATCCTGCTCTTACCTGGCCTGTGGCCTCTATACCCATTGCTTGTGACCAAAGTAGTATTTTACTTCTTCCATTTCAAGACCCACATGAAAAACTCTCTGAAGACTGAATTCTGGTCACTGGAGGAAACATCTAGGAAAGGATTCAGGAGGTGATTATTGGGACCTTCAAATCCTCCATCTACTCATAGGGTTGGTCGTACTGCTCCTCCATTTTCAACACCACCCTCATGTCCTTGCAGATGCTCTGCTGTGGTGTGAATCTTTGCACTGTTTGCAGCAGACTCTGTAGCTGTCTTTGGGCTCTCTTACCAGCCCAAGATGACTAGGACACTCCCCGAGTGCTTGGCACATTTGCTCAATGACAGAGGACTCCACAGCACCGCTCCCAAAGAGAGATCCAGGCACCTCATGGCAAGGCCCTGATCAGGAGCTTCTTGTGTTTTCCAATGCCTGAGTCACACCTACCAGCCTTTCCAATATTGGAACACCACATATTCTGCCTTCACATTGCCAGAGAGATGCCCTCTACTCCCACACTTATCTAGATTGACTTCAGCTCTGTTTTCATAACAGCAAGGAGGGCAGGAAGGGAAGGATCCCCCATATCACCTTCCTGACACATCAGGCAACATTAAAATATGCTTGATTTCCATTGGGCTCCATTTTAAAACAGGTTCCCAGGAAGAGCCCTCCCTTCTCTGGAGAGCATGTGCAGACACACCTGGGAGGAAGCTGCTCCCTCAGACCCATCTCCTGACTGTTGGGGCAAATCTTATTGTGCCCAACAGTGCTGTGTGTTCTCCATAGATGCTAGTGTGTCCTGTCCCACAAGAACAGCACACATGCTGGTCAGTTTGAGGCAGGGAGCCCTCCTAGCCTAATAAGATGAGGAGCTTCCCAGGATAGAGGGCCTTCTTAGCACAGTAAGATAAGAACTTTCCCAGAACAGTGAAAGGGTCCTCCTAGCACCATAAGATAAGGGCCTTCTTAGAAGAATTTATGTTAGAAGAAAGGAATGTAACTCAAACTGTAGTGCGCATGTGTAACCCTGCTGCAACCTTGAGCTGTGTAGTACCTAATCATAATGTATGTTACTAATATGTAAGCCTTATAAGGGGGACAAAGAAGCTACAAATGTATATAAGACAATGCTCCCCCGCACTCAGGGCTCAGCTTTTGGATGTGAATCTACTAAGCTGGTTTCTGCATGAATAAATACTGCTTCCTGGCAAAGGAGCCTCGGTGTCTCCCTCTGCAAAAGATTCCCGTGACAGGTTCATATACGTCTACGAAGCTGCAAGAAAGCTTGGGAGCATGTCACTGTTTTTAATAGTGACCTTTTTTTGTGTAAAACCTTCCTGAAAAAGTTTTGCCAAAAGGATTCTGCGAAAGGCTAGAGAGGATATTTTGAATACACATTTGAAAAATATTATTCAAAGTCTACAATTTACACAATTGTTACCAGTAAAGAGTATGAGGCTTATGGTCAAAAAGTGTAAGATACAGATTAAGGGCTTTGCTTCAGGGAAGCTCAAAAGAAGCACTAGGTTCACTCTACCATGAGGAATTAGAAATACAAGACTTTTTTTTTTTTTGGCCAAGGGCAAGTATTTAGGTTTCCAAGTAGCAA